GGCCCCCTGCCCCGCCGGTACCTGGAGCACCGCTCGCCCCTTGCATAAACCCCCCCTCGCACCACCAGGGCTCAGCCGGGCGGATRCTCTCCGAGCTGGCAGCGGAGCAGGCTGTGTTGGAATGCTCCGGAGGGAGAGATTGCCCCAGTTGCACATTTTATGTGTTTTCTAGGATGCCGGTAATAGCGCTTATGTAGCTGGCCAAAGGCTACGTGCAGGCGATTACACAAGCCGCTGCCTGGCAGCGAGCTCCCTTTTCCAAAGGGCTCCTTGAACATCTCGAAATCAGAGCAGTTCTCCCACGGAGGTGGAGGCACTACCTGGTGCTCGAAGATGTGGAGCGGGTGCAACAAGTGGGGCTCTCCTCCCCTCTCTGCCGTGGGTATAATGTGCTGTTATAACGTGGTTTTGCACTGTGTGGGTCGCTGCAGCGAGGTGGTGGGGAACAGCTCCCACCTCCTGCCCCGAGGCCGCTTTGCCTTGCAGGGTGCCTCGAGCTGCCTGCAGACGTGCTGTTCTCAGTGGGGTGACCTGCTCTTGACTTGCTCTGGAGGGGTTGTGCGGCTGAAGTCCTCCTCTTCTGGCCTGAGCAATGAGTGGAGTTGCCCCTCTTGCMCTTCTCTTGCACAGTGAGGTCCCGTGTCTCACTTGGCCCTGATTTGAGCAAAATCCCCCTTTTTTTTCCACCCATCTCTGGCCGAAGAGGTGGACAGGTATGTGGTAGCTAAGAGTTGTGGCCACCTTCTAGACAAGCTTCTGTTTAAGCTTGTTCCCTGCAAGGTGCTCAGCCCCTGGCTGAGGGGAGCTAAGCACGCTTGGTCCTTAATCGGTGAAAGCCGGTCTTTGTCCTGCTCTGTGCCTATGAGGGGCTGGTTTGGGTAGATAAGGGACTGAGTGGCCACCACAGAATAGGAAGTTGCATCTTCACTGCAAGAGAATGTCCCACCTGCTTCCTCTAGCTAAATCCTGATAATCTGCAGTGAGACCTGAAGAGGAGGAAAAGCCTCAAGTTCTTCCTCGGGTCTCCCCTCATCTCAAGCACTTGGGCTCCAAGTCTTCATCATCATACAGGTGGTCCCCATGAGGCTTAATGTTAAATGGAAGTAACAGTGGAGTGCTGATGTTGAGGATGGCCAGGAATATATCCAGGGCTTTACTGAACCCCCTAGATTGGGCTTCAGGTGGCTTCTGCTAAGGTGGCAGCTTTAGGGYTGTCCTTATGGATAACGTTGATAGGAGAAATGTGCTGCAGAAGTGGGGACTGTGGAGCTCAGCTCCAACCCCATTTGCAGAAACTGGATCTGCTTTGGAGGCTGCACTTAAAACCCTGGTGACAGGGCCACCTCTGAGCTTGGCTGTGTGCAAATATGTCCTCGGATGTATGCAGGCAGTCAAGKGCCTGTGTTGCATTTGATGGGTATCTGTTGCTTGACATTTCTTTCAATGGAAAGCTCTCTAACTTCTACATCTGAAAGCTGGGATAAGACTAAAGCAAAGGAATGAGGAGTGTGGTGAGAGTGAGTGTAGAAGACAAGATCTCGTATTTAGGGTTGCRCTAAAATACAGCAGAGCTGAGTTTTTTCCTCTAGAGATTCAAAMCAGCAGCTGTTTTGTTGAGCCTTCCCTCTGGAGGAGCATTATTTAGATGCTGCTCGTGAGCTTGTGCTTTCCTGGTCATGTCTAGAGGAGACGGGCATCCTTCTCATCCTTTGGAAATGAAGTCAAGATGGTCAGGGGACAGCAAACCTCTTGGTGATGTTTTGTAACCCATCTTAGTTAAAGCCATCCTATTTCAGACATATGACCACGTTCATGTGAACCTACAAGTAGCTTATTTTTAAGGCTGCCCCGCTAAGTAGATTTTACTTAGCGGCATCTGTGGAGAAGCTAGAGTTCTGGTGTGCAGATGGGAGAGGGCTGAGGGAGCTGAGATACAGCTCMGACTGCATACATGCTCCATAAATAACCATATATTATGTGTGTGTGATATATATATATGTGCATGCACACACACACATATATGCAAGAGGTCCATTGAGCACAAGGCAGTACGTGAGAGTCCAGCATGATGTGGGCAGCTGGATGCCAAGGGGCAAGATCTAGAAAATGAAGGAAAGCAGATGTTGTTCAGACTTCCTTGGACAAACAGGCTAATAGTGGTTATAAAACAGGTTAATAAGGGTTATAAAACAGGCTATCTTTGCTTAATCTCTGTTGTCCTCCTGTACATTCTGGGTTCTTTTCTGTAAAATCCTTTACGCTTGCAGGATTGAGACTCTGGAACCAGCAGCAGCAGCTGAGTGTTGATGTGAAGATGGGAAGGGTTTGCATTAGGTGCGACCCCTAATGAAGGCTTAAGAGCAGTTTGGGGGCTCTTGCRGGCATTACCAGTGAATTTTAAGTGGTACAAAGAACCCGATTTTCCATTGCTTTTAAACCTGCCTTATGTCCCACTGCAAGTCACTGCTGGGTGGTGGCTGGTGTGTGAGTCTCCTTGAGACGCAGTTTGGCTGATGCACTTGCTCTTTGGCCGTTTTGGGGAAGCTGCACGTCCTCCCATCCAATACCCACCCAGTCACGCGGCTGGAGGCTTCTTTGTGTCTCCTCCGCCAGGCCTGGCTCCAGCTGAGCTGAGCAGCCAAACATGGCAAATGAATTAAAGCCTTCAGGGCAGGTTTGTTTGCACCCGGCGAGTCAACTAACGCGGAGCTGCAAATCATCTAGCGCTGGCTTGGCTGGCGCCCTGCGAGCCTCCAGCACGCCAGAACAGCTTTGAAAGCCTGTGGGTAGCAATCCAGAGAGCCGAGCCTGAACAAATAAGCCTGCAGACATCCTGCAGCATGAACTCGATGCTTCCGCATGCATAAGTTCCCGTTTTAGGTCTGGTGTTTATTTTTTTTCCTGGGGCAGGATGCGACGGGATCCACTGGAGAAGATTTGCTGACGCATTGTCCCCTCTGGATGGGCTCTCTAAGCGTCCAAGGTGAACATGTTCCCCTGGGGAGCCTGTCCTAAAGGTGGTGTCTCCTTCCTCCTGCAGAACGTGAGGATCGACCCCAGCAGCATCGCCTTCGGCATGTGGAAAGACATCCCTGTTCCCTTCTTCCTCTCGGTGCACTTCTTCGAAGTGCTGAATCCCCAGGAGATCCTGCAGGGAGCGAAGCCGGTTGTGAGACAACGTGGGCCCTATGTTTACAGGTCGGGTGCTGTTGCTTGGACCTCTGGGCAGCTCCTCAGGGAGGAGGCGCGGTGTTGGCATTGAATTCACTTGCGATGAATCCAGTGACACAGTGTTTTGGAGCCGTTACAGAGTGTTCGGTTGCTTAACTGCTGGTAGTGCCAAGGGTAGGACTGCAGACAGTTGAGCCTGTAAGGCTTGGAAGTCCTGGTTTGGGCTATAGAGCTCAGGCTTGTGCTGGGAATTTGGGGATTTGGCTAGCCAAGCCAGACCACGTGGTGGTGGGTAACCCTCCTCTTCAGAGGGGACCCAAGTTCCATCTTAGCTCTTTGGAGCTGCACTGCTAAACAAAGCTGGAGATCTGAGGCTGAAGTTACTCCTTCCGATATCAGACTTCCAAGAAGTCTGCCTATAGGGAACGCTCCGTTTAGGAGAACCAGCATGGAGCACTAGAACTTGGTGCACCTATAGCAGGGCTGGGTCTTTTGCCATGGCTGAGGATGGTGGTTGAACCCTCAGATGCCTCTATAGACCTGGAACCAAAGTGATGGGCGATGCTGAGTTGAATGTGTGAATTTGCCCATGAATAGCCATAGTCAATGTGTTAATTCCTACACATGTAGGCAAGGTTAGGTCAGCAGCCTAAGCAAGCTCATGTGGGGAGATTAGCAGTCTAATCCAAAGCCGTTTGAGTAGTTTCGGGAGAAATCTGGCAGTATGTATATGGCCTCGTTTCTACTGCACTTGCCAGGTCAGCACTAGAAGACCATGTGGCTTCTGTATGTTGTGATTGTGTCCACAGTCACAGGCTTGGCAAAAAAGGCTTCCCTCACAGTAAATAAGAATGAACAAAGTGGCAAAGCTTATTAGTGTCCTTAGCTTTCTGCTAAGCAAGATTAGTGCCCTGCCCAAACGTAGGCTGTAAAATGGAGGCTCCACAATGAAGGACTTTGTTTCTGCTGGTGGGTTGAGCAGTGGCTGCCTGTGGGGCAGCTCCAGCTGCTAGGGACAACCTTGTGCAGTGCTGCCTCTTCACGAGACCCCTGCTCTGCCCCACGTGCAGCAAGGTAGTGCTGCAAGGCAGCGTGCAGGACATCACCCGAGAGGTGGTCCTGGAGCTCYGAGGAGCAGGATGGTCCCCACACTGTGTAGAGCATCGTGCTGTGGTGGCTGCCCTCAACATGGGAGACATCAGGGAACTTGCTTCAAGTTGGACACCTGGGCATCTCCCTGATGAGGCYGAGCTTCTCATCAAATGCAGATGAAATGCCAGAGGGGGATTCTTCATTCCTCTGTCAGCAGTAGATGATTTTTATCTCAAGCTACCCATCATAGAATCCTTATGGTTGGAAAAGACCTTCAAGATCATCAGGTCCAACCATCAGCTGGGTTCCAAGATGAGCAGAAATAACGCAGTATCTCCATGGGGTGGTTGAAGGCTCCCTCACGTTGGGGAGGGTTCCCATGGTCTCCTCTCTCTTTGCAGAGAGTTCAGGCATAAAACGAATATCACGTTCCACGACAACGGCACCGTCTCCTTCCTGGAGTACCGGAATCTCTTCTTCCGGCCGGAATTGTCTTTGGGCAGCGAGGACGACTACATCGTTGTGCCCAACATGCTGCTCATGGTAACCTGCCCTCCAGACAGGGGCTGCRCCCTCCTGCTTGCCAGGAGGAGAATGGGGTCCAGTAACACCTTATACCTTGCTCGCCTGTTGGGCTGGAGGCCTAGTAAGCCAAGAGGTAGTTTCAGCTTAAATAACATGGTTTGCTCCTTTCTGGATGTTGGGGATCATGTTAGGGATCATGTCATCCATGTTGCAGGTCTGGGGAAATTGCTCATAAAAACACAAGCTGGTGCTGGCTAGTGGGGAGGCTCAGCACAACCCAAAGGAATCCCTCAAGACTGAGGGACCACAAGGTGAGATGAGGAGCAGTGGTGACTTGGGCATCCCCGTTGGAGAAGTTCTGCCCCATAACAGTTATTCTTGCAAGGCCTTTCCAAAAGTGAGAGCCTGCCAAGGGGTGACGTGCAAAGAGGCTGCACATGAGTCTAATCTTGCCCAAGCCTCCTCTGAAGTGGCACCTATGAGCCCACAGTGGCTGTTGCCACTAACCACATTATTTTTTCAAATTTAAGAAAAACGAYTGAGTCATGGTGGTGAATAATTATGAACCGCTTCCCTAAAAGCTCCGTAGGATTGCAGAGGAGCCTTGCTGAGCACTGAAGATGTATTGCTGCTTCTTAAAATCTTGTTTATGTGTGTTTATTTTTTTGAATAAAGGCATCTCTTGTCTGAGAGATTTACTGTCTTCCCCAGGGGGCAGCTGTAATGATGGAAAACCTGCCGAACTTTGTGAAGCTCTTGCTGAGCGGAGCCCTGGCGGGCCTGAAGCAGGAGGCCTTCATGAACCGCACCGTAGGAGAGCTCATGTGGGGATATGAAGACCCTCTTATAGACACACTCAATATGCTGGTGCCTGGCTTGATCCCTTTCAAGGGAAAATTTGGCTTGTTTGTAGAAGTAAGTAAACTGTTGCTTGGGAACGTTGAAATTCCATTGATTCTGTGCGTGGGATCAAGTATCCAGACGGTCCCTCCTCCCAAACGGTTGTGTGGTTAATGGTGGTTATGTAAATCTTCCATAATCCTCCCTTGGATAGAAACCCGACAGGTTGGAAATTCTGCCAAACCATAATGGCTAAAATAAGTAGAGCTCAGTAGTTTCCTGCACGTGAACACCTAGCAAGCTAAGGCATCTGTGCAGGTGCTCACGTACTGTAGTGCTGCTGCATATAGTGGATTACAAGTTAGTTTCTTCTCTCTGCAGTTCAACAATTCCCACTCAGGACTGTTCACAGTGAATACCGGCATGCAGGACATCAGCAGAGTTCACATGGTGGATTCTTGGAATGGATTGAGAAAAGTAAGTGTTGGGTAGCAAGTCTCTAATATTGGGCTACGTACTGCTCTAGAGCCAGACAAYCTGAAAGCCATTAGGGCCACTGTGAGATATCTGTCTTGTAGTTTGGCCGGGAGGTCTCTGCAGAGCTTCTACCACCTCRATTAGAGTTGCTAAAAGGCTTGTCATGAACCATCAATCTCCACCCATCAGCTGGCTGACTAGGGCTTGAAAGGCTTTCACCAAAGTCTGCCTCTGGTTGAAGTTGCACCTTCCTTCTTCAGGGTTTTTTGAGGTATATCTTTCAATAGCCTCCTGAAAGCAGTGCTTATTTATGTCATTTCTGTGGAATTTCAATCCTAACTAAAATGAAATAAAATCTGCAGATCAAAGCTACATGATCACATGAGGTTGGGTCATCTTACCCTACTTCTTCATTAACAGGGCAGATGTTTGAATGTAGTGACCCAACTATCTTGAGATCTTCCCTCTAGCTCTATGCCAAAGTTAAGGTGTTAAAGTGGTGGTGAGTCTGAAACAGCAGTTCAGATGAGAAAACCCAGTGCAAGGATGGACGTGGACTGCCCAGCAAGCTCCTGGGCGAGCTCCAGCTCTGCATCTGTCCTGCAGGTGAAATACTGGAGGACCAACGAATGCAACATGATCAATGGGACCTCGGGGGAGATGTGGCCGCCGTTCATGAGCCCGACATCGCTGGAGTTTTACAGTCCTGATGCCTGCAGGTGAGCCCGTGGTGCCCCAGAAGAGTCACTCCTGTTGGCCATGCAGGTGCCTGGAAACTCAGGACAGATGTAGAGGGCCARGGACCAGCTTCTGTAGTCAAGGCTTCAGCCACCATCCAGTCGTGCATCATCTGAGCTTCACGAGCAACGTAGCTGCCTGGTTAGCTGCATCTTGTGATAATCACACAAATCTCCCATATCCCAGTAGAGGAATCAAACTGGGGTTGGTGAATGAGCAGGAAATGAGTGATCTAGGTGAAGTGTGGGACGATAAATGCAGAAGTGCAAAGTCAGTTATAGTCATTGGTCTGCAGAACTGGCCGCTGACTTAATTGCTTGCAGAAATCACGTTGGGGAGCAAATGCTGCTCCTTCCAGGCTGCCTTGGCTCTCTGCTTGAGCCCTCTGCCTTGCACACTGCTGACCATAGCAGATCAAGCAGGGGTTCAAGTACCCTGTGGATTCTGCCCTGTTCATGTTGAAACTTCCTGATGTTGGAATGAGGGGAAGTGGAGGGGGTGGGACGTGGCACAAAGCCCTGTTCCCAGCTTGGTGGAGGTAATTCAGGCTTTGCATTTAGTGCCTCGGAACAGGCGGAGTGCTCGGATGGGATGGAGAACAGTGACTCCTTCCAGCTAAGCAGCCAAGTCAGCTGAGGCAAGTGTTTATGTGCAAGAAGCATCTGCAAACACCTCAGCTACMTGGAGCCAAGGACTTGGAGGAAATTTTAGGAATAATCAAAGGTTAAATAAACTTGTCCATCTCAAACTAGGGAAATCTTTGAGGGGACTGAGAATGTGTTTTCTGGCAAAGCATAAAGTGAAGTGAAAGAAGCCGTGGTGAGGTTCTAGGGTGCAGAAGCTCCCACAGGACACGATGCAGGGGAAGTGGGTCCCATGGAGGAAGCAGCTCGGACACACTGATGGCTCCCTCTTCACAAATCAGTGCTGCTTGTTGTCCCCGAGGCCACTCTTACAGCATTTCTTCTGGCCCAGCTGGCTAGGGAGGAATCACAAATATCAGATCTAAGAGAATAATAATAATAATATTAATATACCTCACACTAGCCTCTTTTGTGGGCAGCGGGGAAAGTATCCAAAAAAAGCCACTTCTGCCTTGGAGCTGGTGCTTGCACAAAGAAGGTGTTATCTCTCTGGAGAGCATCTGCAGGGATTGTTAYGTGCCCTTAAACACATCTCCTCTGGTTTCTGCAAACAGCTTCATAAGTGTGTGTGTCTCTCCGTAACTAGTCTCGGCCAACCCTTTATCTGTGCTTAAAACATGGAAAACAAATGGCTTAAATGCTCATTCCCGATACAAAGCGCTGCTCAGAGTGTTTATCTTGATCTCAAAGTCTAAGTTACATTGCAACTGTGATCTTATCCAGCTAAGATAACCCAGTTCTGTTCTTGGGGCCTCTCTGCTATTGACTAATCCTGATTCCTCTCCACTGAATTACTTTCTATCTATGGTACTTTCTATTGTAGGTCTATGAAACTGGTGTACGAGCAGTCCGGGGAGTTTGCAGGAGTGCCCACCTATCGCTTTGTGGCACCGAAGACGCTCTTTGCCAACGGCACAGACTACCCTCCCAACGAGGGCTTCTGCCCCTGCCTGCAGTCCGGGGTCCAGAACGTCAGCTCCTGCAGATTCAGTACGTCCCGTGCTCCCTCTGCATCTCRCTTCCTCCCTGCCTTACCCTTTTAGCTGCAGAGGCTGAAGGTTTTATCCAGAATGCTGGGACACTGAGTAATACCATGGGGTCTGTCTGCTTTCTGATCTGTGTTCCTGCAAGCCTTGGGATGAGGAGGGAAGTGGGAAAATTCCAAAGCCCATCTGCTTGTGGCCCAACAGCAGCCCTGCAGCCTCTGGAGCACGCTAGGTTATGGTGGGAGCTTCTCCTCACCCAAACTGGGGAAGGAGGGAGCAGGGAGGCGAGCAAGACTTGCCGGGGTGGGGAAAGGCAGGTTGTGTAAAATGAACTCTAGTGTTGGTGCAGGTTGTGCGGGAGGGAACCTGGACTTCAGCTTCCTGACCCATGTCTGGGTACAGCGAGTTACTGCAGCACTGAATATGTGTTTGAGAGGGAGACAGGATCTTAAGCTCAGGTCTCAGGTCCCTCGAGCATTGGGATAAGTTGCTGGAGGGATGGGAAGGAACCTTCTTGTTGGGAGGGGGAATGATAGCAACAGCTTATCCTAAAGCCTGTTCAGAACCAATGCTTTCCTGACCAAAACTGTCAGCAAAGCTTTCCCATGGCCTTGGCTGAGTTGACGATTGCTTTGCTCTCACCCAGATGCACCCATGTTCCTTTCCCACCCGCACTTCTACAACGCYGACCCGTTCCTGGTGAACGCTGTGGATGGGCTGCACCCCAGCAAGGAGCAGCACGCGCTCTTCCTGGACGTGCACCCGGTGAGTGAGCCCCTCCAAAGCCTTGTCCTGAACAGAGGACTCCCAGCTCATGTGGTGAGTTAAGCCAGGGTGGGACCATCTGCCTGGTGGTCTCACTTGGCTCTTGTGGTGCCGATTTGTGCAGGTTCCATAGTGCAAAGACTGGCAAGGACACGTGTAGATAAAAATACCAAAGCCATAAAGTAATTGAATAGCTCATCAGGCTTATAGAGAATTGCAGAACTAATTATGAACTTAATTGTTTTGATAAGCACGCTTTCCACTGACTCAGGATTGTCCATAATGCCGGGAGGTGCCTCTAGCAGCAGCTTAGACCTGAAAATCTAGGTGTCCAAGACCTGAAAGCTTGTACTGTCACAACCAAGTTGAACAGCCAAGTCTAGAGACTCCTCTAGCTGTTCCTGGGGTTGCTTTTCTCACTCTCCCAGCTTGCCCTTCTGGCTGGCTGCTTCTGGTCTGGGCTGATATATGCTGTRCTTCTTGCATGACTTAAGCTAAAGGTAAAGGAACTTCCCCAACAGTGACTAGTTGGGGGCTGAGCTGTTCTCTTGCTGTCCCCACTGCTGGTGGGGAAGGGGCTTTTTGGGGCTCTTCCACCTGTGGCTCATATTGCTTGGGAGCAGATTTTCCAAAGGTTTGGTCATGTTGGTTCGAGCAGGGAAACAATCCCTCCCTTGAGGTAAGGCAAGTGTATCATCTAGGCGTTGGACTCTCTTTGCTTTTTTTATCAGAGCTAGGAAAATCTAATTAAGTTTATTACAGTATCAAACAACTTTTGATAATAGTACAATTAACGATATCGTTATCTAGCTGCAGCCTGCTGAGTATGAATCTGCAAAGAGGGCAATCCAACAAAAACTATGCCCTTAAAAACATGTGTTGCATAACTGTAGGGTCATGAGAAATGGGTGTCAGCAAGACCAGTTTTCCAGTTTATTTTTACCATCTTAGTCTGGTATTATTAGTGATAGCAGTCGATATCTAGTCATAGTTATGGGAAATGCTGTGGGCCCTTGGCTGTGCCCGGGGCACCTGCAGGCTGTGGAGGGCTGCTCTGCAGCAGCAAGACATGTTTAAGTCACTGGGTGCTTTCATAGATTCACAAGGCTCTCTATGCAATCTCCTTGAGTGCTCTGGGGGAGTTGCACCCAAAGTGACTTTGGTGAAAAAGCTGGGGGCTGCTTTTCTGCAAGGAGACAAGCTCTGGCCATGCTGGTGACGTGGTTGCGTTCTCCCTTTGCAGATGACGGGCATCCCCATGAACTGCTCCATCAAGCTCCAGCTGAACCTGTAYATAAAGCAGGTGCCTGGTATCATGTGAGTAGCTGTCTTCTGGAACTGGCCATCTGTCGTCTTAGAGCTTGAAGTGTGGCTGACTCTGGTCATTGGAGTTTGCTGTCCCTGGAGGAGAGGCAGCTCCGGGCAGCTCTAACCTCGGCGGTTCTGCTCTTGCAGACGCCAGCTGGGTCATGAGCTGAAGTGTCAGCTATCCCCATGACCTCGAGCAGCCCTCCCTTAGCAGCACGCTGTGTGGCTGCCCTTTTTGTCGCCCTCCCGAGTCCCCTGTGCTGATGGGGCAGTCCAGCAGTGCGAACATGTCCACCTGCTAGCGGGGAGGCACAGGGACCTCGTGTCTGTAGTGCAGCTGCTCCAAAGCTGTTAGACCCAGCACAGAGAGGCTAAGCATGCTTGGAAAGTTGAAGTTCTACCTCCAAAAAGGCTCTTCCAACTAGCTGTGAGAGTAAATGGGAACCTCCTTGGAAGGGCTCTGCAGCAATGTTATGTGGAGCCAAGTGCTAAATTCTTGCAGGAGTGGGAACCTGTGTGAACTTGCTGCATTTATAGACTGGCTCTACACCAAGAACAGGCCTGGTGCTGTGAACTTGGCTGCACACCCCTTACTGAGATGCTTTGCCATTGCAAGTTCACTTTTCCAACTCGCTGAGCGAATGTACCTGGAGGTCACCTTTGGGATGGCACTTACTGCCGCCCTTGGGCGGTTAAATGCTTGCGGAAAGGCAAACCCTACTCTTGCATGAAAGGCCTTAGTTAGACCTGGTCCCCCTCAAGCAGGAGGAGATGCTGCCTCCTTGCCCTGTTTTTCTGGCCGCTCACAGTCTGTCAGACCCTTCCCTGTAGCAAGAGCTAAGGCAGGAGTTGCGACATGATCAACCAAAAGCGCTTGTGTCTCCCTCAGACAAACGGGGAAGACGAAGCCCGTGGTCCTGCCACTGCTGTGGTTTGCAGAGGTGAGCTGTACCCTGCTGCTTCCTCGCCTCCTCCTACGGGAGGTTTCGTGCAGGAGTGGGGAGAGTGTGTGTGTGTGTGTGTGTGTGTGTGTGTGTGTGTGTCCTTCCCCCCCATCCCAAGCTGCCGTGCTCGCGGGGCTGTCGGGGCTCTTACGTGACTTCCCAAACTCTGCTGTGAATAAAGCTCTAAGCCAGCCAGGCTAATTCGGGGACCTCCTGAGGGCTTTGCAACACTCTGGCTGCATGTTTAATCCCTCCGAGCTGAGCAAAGCCTGCCCTGTGCTTGGCCCACCTCTGCTTCAGTGCATGACGGGTGAGCAGGACCGGGAATGGTTCTGTCCCCATGGCCCTCACTAGTGCGGGACAGTCCTCTGCAGCTGTGTGCATGTCCAGGGGACTCCAATGGTTTGGTAAAAGCTTCTAGCCTGACTGAATCCTACCTAGAAATGTCCCTAATCCCTACCAGGAGTTACCCAACGGGTCTGTCTTGGTGCTGGGTGGGAGGGAAATGCTGCTGACCACTTTGCTTTCTTGAGCAGAGTGGATCCATCGAAGGCTCAGTCTTAAATCAGTTTTACACCAACCTGGTGCTGCTCCCATCCGTGCTGGAATATCTGCAGTACATCTTCCTTGGGCTGAGTATCCCTCTCATTATCACAGCAGCAGTACTCATGGCGACGAGTAAGGTAAGAACCTGCAGATGTCTAATGGTAAATGCCGTTACTCAAATCAGACTTAATCAGATGACCTAGATTGGGCTGACAATCTAACACTCCTGATGAAACCTAGACGGATGCCTTGAAGCTTGTCCAAACGTTGCCAGGTGCCAGCACGTAACAGCAGGCCTTCCTCAGCCATCTAGAAACCTCTCTGCAGCTAGATAATGCAAAAGCATTTCCGACCATCTCAATACATGATAGACAGAAGCACATTCCTGTAGGAGAAAACATTCCTCAGCTCATGCAGCTAAAGAAGGAACAAGCTCCTCAGTCTGGTCTTGTTACAAAGCAGATGTTTACTCAAGTCCAAATGCCTCTGCAGGGTCCCTACAGCTTCCTCCTTCTGTGGTGTCATGTAGCATCTAAATGCAAGTGGTTGGCAAGAAAAACATAGTAGTTGCCATCTTGTAGAAAGAAAGTGGGTTCTCTGCCCATGTCTGAAGCCAACCTGGACTTTTCCAAAAAATTAATTTGCTTCTCTGCAAGTGAAACTACGTTGATAGCTCTGGAAGTTGGACCCTGAGTGGATCTGGACTCGATGAGAAGTGAAACTCTCTGACGCTGTGGGAAGCTGGCGCCTACCCTGCAGTTGGCCCATGGTGGGGAGAAGTAGCCAGGGTGCCTGGCACAGCGAGAACCTGAACTGCCTGTGCCTAAGGCTCTAAGGCAGAGCATGGAACACTAAGACGYTTGATGGAGACCTGTGGCTCAGGCTCCAAAGCATTCAGCTGATAACGCTAAGCTCCCGTAAGCTTTAGCTCTTGAAGTAGAGATCTAGCTCCCTCCCCTAACTGATCAAAACAAGCCTATCTAGTTTAGCATGGAGTCAAATAACCTGAGCTGGCTCTCAGGTTAAGAGCTCGAGAGGCAATTTGTGGGGATAAAAAGGCAATGCTTAGGGACAAGAGGGGGCCCAGGTGAGAGCACGTGCAAGAGGCTGTTGTCRTTGGGCCTCCCGTAACTGCCCCTACAGCAACAGTAATTCAAACCCCACTTCGGGTGGTTGCCAGGGTTTTCTAAGTGTCGTGTAACTGGATTTTAACCAAGCCTGCRACAGCATAATTGACTTAAGTGCATGATTCCAAGTGGCTTTGTTCCTCCGCGCTCYGTAACAATGCGGGAGCGGTGCTGGGGTGAGAGCTCCCGCGGAGCCCTTGGATGCACCACGGCCGGACCACCAGGATGTGCTGCATCCCTCCCCGGCAGCCAGCACAGGTAGTCCCAGGCAGATAAAGTGGAGTGAGTAGCACAGGCTGTCAGGGCGAGTACCCGATTCCTACCTGCRTGGCCAAGGTGATGCTCTTAGAGTGCTTCTTTTGAGCCAAAGTTAGCAGTGTCTTGCCTTAACCCCTCTAGGGCTTAACCCCTAGCAGTGTCTTGTCTTAACCCCTCTATAGGCAGTCACTTCTGCCCTTGTCCAGATGTTGGAACTGGCAAGGCCCCCTTTGCYAGGCTGCCCACCAGCAAGCTGCAGCCCCAGAGCTAAGGACAGGGCTGAGGTTTCCCAGGCTTCTCAAGCAGGAAACCTCACTTGCCAAAGTCAGTTGTTCATCTTCCAGGGATGATTCCCCTCTTTGATCTTCTTCTTGCTTGACATTGGAGCTTGCTTGCCGTGGTGGAGAGAGGTCCTGGGCGGCAAGTGGCTCCTTGCTGCCTGGATCTTGGGCGCTTGAGGCTTGTAGCACACTGCCAGGCTGCATGAACAAGCATTCCCGTAGGAATGGGGGTGGCCTGGACTGCTGGGAACAGCACGAACCTTGGAAGTGGTGCTTGGCAAACCACAATATTGTGCTGCTGAGCGCCAGGAAATCTGACGTGTACTTGGAGTCACTGGGCAGTTGTTTCTCCAAAACCTTGTGCGGCCCTGGGCTAGTGATTCACCTTGTTTCATGCAAGTCCTAACTGCCAGTATCAAAGAGCTGAGCCATGCCAGAAGAGCTCGGGAAGCAAAGCTGTTTCTTTATTTTATTTTAGTCAAATGAATATCTGCTTGTGGAATATCCTAAGCCCAGGCACAAGCTGTAGGCATTTAGGGGCTCAGCAGCTCCCACTTCTACTTGTAAAAGTACCATGAATTSCTGGAACTAAAATCAACTGCAGGAAGTGTCTGGCTACCTGGAAAGTGGATTAAAAAGCCTTAATGATCTTAGAAATTTCTAAGGAACCTATTCAACGACGCATGAATTRGAGAAGAGCTTGTAAACTGGAAGACGGTAATAATCTGCAGCCAACGTGCGGTCCTGATTTGAATGAAGATTGCTAATCTGGTGACGATTGCTTAATCGTGCACAGTCCTCCCTCTGGAAGCCACAGGACGTCACAGGGGACACTGAGCAAGGGCACTGTCCGCAGCTGTCACGTGTCATCCAGTGCAAAGGTCCCGCTTAACCATGGTCCCGCTTAACCAAATTTCTTCCTGCAACTTCTTGCCTGCCTCTCCRGCTTCCAGAGGGAGCAGTGTGCCCTAAACTGCATCCGGATGAAGTGAAACACTTAAATTCAGCGAAACGCTAGAATTTTTCGTCTAGTTCGTAGTGGAGCCAGTTTAAAATGCATCTGTTGAGCCTACAGTTCTAAAATGTGCGAATCCCCTCCCTTATAAGAAAAACAAGTGCCCAAATGCAGTATTACTTATCTTTTCTGAAAGCATGGGCTAAAACATGAATAGTCACACTCCTTTAAAAGTGCAAATGGACCATTTTAAAACTGGCTTAACACTGACCAAAATCCTAAATAGAAGACAGCTTAGTATATCCTACAAATTGCAATCTTCAATTAATAAGTAGATTGTAGTTAAGCAGTGATTAAAACTTTCTTTAAAATCTCATCTTAAAATTGGAACCCTCATGGAATTCATGTCAAAGTACACCATAAACTAGCCTGGTTATCTTCTAGGAAAAATGCTCTTTATTTTGGAGTAGCAATAAAAAGAACTCAGACACTAATAAGGCCAACGAGGCCGCCTCTGCCAAAAAGCTGCCTCCGGTTAAGGGGACGGCGTTGCGGGAAGCCAGACTCTAGGTGGGTACCCGGCCAAGGTAACATGCTTTCCTCTCATCCCAATTTGATTAAACCTTGCTTGAAACCAATCAAAAGAAAGTGCTTACTGTCCACCTGTACCAGACACGTCCTCCTGGCAAGCTTTGACATAATGATGTTGCCTCCTAGCTTTATCCAGGGCAATTTAGATGTCTTAATACTCCTGCTAAACTGCAAGAAGGTGCTTTTCTTTCTCCCAGTGCTCCTGAGCTGTAGCCCTGATAATAAGATCAGGAGGGAGCAGGATGAGAAATAGGGCTGGTGTGAGGAAACCCTTTTCTCACCTTTTTTCCAGAGTGATGGTGAGATCCAGGAGTAAGTGAAAAAGAGCAAAAACCCTTGTGGCTAAAAGCTCACTGCCTCCTGGGCTTCACTCTCCTTCAGTATCTTAAAACCTTGATTTCAAAGACTTTCCATGGGGCTTTTTTATGCATCAAATATCTGGGTGTGTGTTTAGTTGGTGCTCTAGGTTTTAGTGGGTAGGCACGACAATAACTTCATTCCGCTGGTGAGTGGAGATGCAAAGATGTTCTATTTAAGAAGCCTTCAGCCAAGAGTTCCTGAACCCGCAACACGACAGAAGAGGTCTGGGGGGCAATGAGGGATGGGGTGATGGCACCTTGCYGTCTTCCTGGTGGGTCTCTGGAAACCTGGGTGGCTTTGTTCCACGTTGGGGAACTGGCACAAGGGCTGCAGAGCTCAGAGGTAACCAGGCTCCAAGAAATACCGGAGAGAGCAGAGTGGAAAAGGAAATCTATAGTTCAGAGGCACTTGCGGATGTCCTGTGGCCACTTGCGCAGCGATGTGGAAAGGTCTGCAGTAGCAGGCTCTGTCCCAGCCTGCCAGCAGCAGATCCCTCGTGCTGGGCTGGTGATGCCCCTGGGGCAGGATGTCACGGTGGGGCTGCAGCCCTGGGGTGCGTGTCCCGCTGGCTCCGGAGGGTGTAGCTGCTGCTGTCTCCTCTGTCCAGAGAGGCGCCGCGGAGAGGAGCCAGCGCGCGCCCGGCACGCAGCGCGCGCCCGCCCCGCTCGCCGAGACCACGCCGCTCCTGCAGGACGCCGGCGCGCCGAGCCGCCACGCGTGAGCTGGGCGCGGGGTGAGAGCCACCCTGGGTGCAGGGAGCAGCACCCTGCAAGGCGAAGCCACCCCGAGCCACAGCGGCGCGCGTCACAGCACTGGGCATCGCCGCACCGGTGAGGCGAAGGCTCGTGCCCCGCACACGAATCCTGGGATTCGGGAGCACCCCTCGGAGCGGCGGCGTTTGGCCAGGGCCTCTCTGCTACCGGCTGGCAGGCAAGAATGAAGACAGTCCTTGGCTGATCTGAGGAGCTACTTTGCTGCTTAAAACTGCCCGTTGCCCCAAGTTCAAGGCGTTCTAATAAGGTCCTTTAGAACAAATAATATTTGCACATAAAGCAATGATGGGATATAATGATTTTTTCCCCTAAATGCTGCTGTTTTATATCCTGTGAGAACGGGGCTTGCTACGCCACGGTTTTATTGATGCATCTTAGGACTGGATTGTCCTGCAGATCGGTGCCGGGTGCTGTCGCTTCAGTGATAAGTTTCTTAAAGGCCTTTAAGGGTACCTGGCACCTGCCCAGGGTTGCTCCTGCCTCTGCATATATTGAGTAATACAGTGATGATTTAAAAACTGAATCTGTGCCATAATCCTGAGGTCTGGTGATTCCAGTCCAGAGCCCCTTTACTTAACCTCCTGCCTCTGTCCTCAGTCTAGGTGACCAAGTGAAATAAACCTTGCCAAAAAACTTGGTTTTGGTACATCTGACCTGTCCTTTAGCTCCTAGCAGACTGGGTGTCTCTACTGCTAGTGCACCCATGTAGGGTCAGCTCTTCGCTGTGCATCACGGGTGCTATAGGGTGCTTGTGTCGCCCTGCCTGAGCAGCAGGAGAGGGCACCTGCCTCCCTTTGTCAATAGCAGCGATAGTTGTGCTTTTGAGATAGAGGAAGCTGTGTGCAAGCACGACGGCCTCGGTAGGGTCTGCCAGAAGTAGTGCAGATTTCCAARAGGAGATCTTGTGGGATCTGGGGTTGGAAGCTACCTGGGAGGGATGTGCTGGAGTCACTCTCATGGGCAAGAGAGCCTTAAGCCCAGGGCTGTTTCAGGGCTGACTATCAATCAGTAGCTGTCCACGGCCCCTGCCTCCCCTCTGGGAGACTGAGCAGCATTTTGGGGCTGAAAGGACCAAAGCTGATGCCTCTGCAARGACTAAGTGTAGAGTTGGGAAGCCTGTCTCTGCAGCAGCGTGTGGCACACGGATCCTGACGCAATCTGGAAACCACTACATTTGCCTCCAGCAACTCTGTGACCTTCTAGAGGGTTGTGCCACCAACTCCCTGGTAGACAGGAAGAGATGGGAGATGAAACCACTCCAAGCAGCTTCCAGACTAGTGCATTCCTTGCTGGTTGCATCCCACACACTGCAGCTGGTTCCGGGCTGTCTTATCACTGGAGGAGAGGTACAGCACAGAGAGTGAAGGGAGCAGCTGGGAGCTGCCAAGCACTTGCTCTGTGGGCACAAGTTGGCTAGTTGACACCTAGGTGCCCTTGGAGCACCGTGCACCAGTTTGGGGCTGGCAACATCCTTCCTGCAGCTGGTTTCTGTGACATGATCCTTGCTGAGGACGATGCTCAAACTGCAGCTCTCAGTGCTCCCCGGTCTCGAATCCAGAAATACTCACCAGCAAACGTCATCTCACCGTCTACACCTGCAGCAAGCAGTGCCCAAACCAGGAACACAGCAGAGGCACCATCTCGCACAAGGCACTGCACGACCCCGGCACTGATTTGCATGGGCAAGGAGAGACTGAGGGTTGATCCAGGATGACTCCCTTTGAGCTCGCCTGGTCCGGGTTTTGGCGGTGTACCGATAGCTTTTTTTGTACGGGTAAAACACGAACAAGYTCCTGCAAAAGCTGCTTTTGTGCTTGCATCTTTTTTAAGCTCTTAATGGAAATGCACGCGTGCGAGAGCGCCGGCGGGTAGGCYGGGGCTGCGGGTGGCAGTTAGCGCTGCCAGGAGGGGTTGGGGGGCCGGGACTGGGCCGGGATGGGGGGACAGGCCCCGTTACCGGCCGGCCGCGGGGGGGGCGCTCCCTGCTGCGCCCGCGCGCGGCCGCTGGGGGGCGCCGTGGGGCCGCGCGTGGACGTGGGGGGGGTGACGGTCGGTAATTCCCCGGCTCGGGGCGCTCCTCGCCTCTTCCCCTGCCAAGTTTCCCAAGGTTTAAAAGGCTCCTTGTCCCCCCCGAGCGCCCCTGGCCCCGCTGCCCCGGCAGGCTGCGCTGCTCCCAGCCCCGCGCGTTGCCTTCCCGGCGGGGGGAAGGCCGCGGCCCCCTTCCCTCCCCTGCTGCACGCTGAAGTCATTGACGTTCTCCTAAAGGGGTTAATTGGCCTCAGGGAGCTCAGTAATTATCACAGCTGTCCGCCGTGCCCGGGCTGTGAGTCCTGAGCGCTGCAGGAAGGACAGAGCGGCCCCCACGTCTGCGCTGGACCTGCTCGCCCCAGAGACCTCGCACGGAAGACCTGGGGGTCCAGCCCAGAGCGGGTATCCTGCGTGGGACGTGGCAGGGGCAATTGTCCTTGAACCTCCCCGGTGTGTCCCTGGCATCGTCCCTGGTGTGCCAGGAAAGGGGTGGCTTATGCCCTTCCTTGCAGGAACGCAGCTGTGAACTGTCCCTGTTCCCTTTGCCCAGCCTTGTCCCACCCTTGTGCTCCTCGCAGTGGCCCTGAGCTCAATTTCGGGCAGTGGGACATGGTGAGATGTTCACCCTCCTCAGACCCATCCACAGCAGGATTTGCTGCCTCCAGCAGACACCTCGAGTGCCCCAGGTGAGTGGCACCGGGGAGGAGGCTTCAGCCCCAGCAGCTGCAGGGGATTTGGGTCGTTGCCTGAGGAGCAAGAGCAGCTTTAACAGGGGTTCAAGAASCTCCTTGCTCCTGCTGTGTCCTGGTGCCTGTGTCCTGCTTGTGTATGTGGTGGCTCCAGGTTCCCCTGGGCAGGGAGCCYGTGTCCTTCCAACAGCAGCAAAATCCTTCAGGATGGTGAGTGAGGGTGAAGGCCTTGGAAAGGCGCTGTTGTGTTTTGGCTCTCTGGAGGTTTTCTTGTCCGTGTTGCGAGGCGGGATGGGAAGATGCTGCTGTCCTACCCTGGTCCSTGGGCTGTGTGGATGTGGTGTGTTCTGTTGGTCACCTGGCTCCGGGAGGTGCCTCCGTGGGGAGGCCACTGCCCCATTCCAGCTGGGATTTGGATTCCAGATATGGCTGTGGGCACAGAGATCGGATCCCGAGATCCCGGGCTGCTGCCTTCCCATACTGTGTTTGCTGCTGAGCCCGGCCTTGCAGGTGGCCTTGGAGCCAACACAGCCCYGCATTCCCAGTGGCCTTTCCCACCTGGGAGCATCCCTGGGGAGCACGACCCTGGAGAGGTGCCTGGCCAGCGCTCCCTGTGCCTGGGGCCTCCTCGGGAGCGTGCGCTTTCCGGAGCAGGAGAAACAATTCCTAAAAAGGAGCAGCTGCATGGAAAGCTGATACCAACGGCTCTATCAGTCCCCAGAGAAATAGGGCTTGGTCTCTCGGCCTGTGGTTTCTGGGGCTGGGATGCAGGCACACGATATGGTTTTAGAAAGATGGGAAAACAATAAAACAGTCCCGGCCTCCATCCCACTGCCGGAGCGGGAGAGCGACGCTTTGCGCCTCTGCTTCCGGTGACAGGATTTCCAGCAACTGCAGATGCTTTCCCCAAAGAGCGAATTTCAAGGAATTACCCTCTCCCCTTGCTGGAGCGTTTGCTTTTCCAAGTAAGTCTCTGGCACGAGGCCACTTCTACAGAAACCGGAACGGAGCAGATCCATGGGAACGCCTGGAGCCGGAGGTTGATGCTGGCTGGGATCGCAGTGCACAGCTCTGCTCCGGAGGAACATTAAATTCCCCAAATCAAGGTGCTGAGCTGCTGCCTCCTGGCCATCCCCTTGTGACCACGTTTGTAACATGCCTCTAGGAGCAGCAAAGCTGCCTTAAGAGCTCTGAAAACATAGTGGGAATTTGCTTTGGCTCGTAAATATCCCCCCGCTCTCCCTGGTGCCACGGCAAATAAATTATCTGAAGCTCCGCTTCCCCGTTTCAAAGCCTTGTGAAAGAAACCAGAGGGTTCAGCAGGCTGGAGTTGTTCACATACCATCCGCCCATTTGCATTTGATCTCCTCCATCCCGCTGCAAGGAATCCTTGGAAGCCGCGGCTGGTCGCGGACCCTCTGGGTGCCTCTAATTCATGGACAYGCGTCTCGTGCAGTGAGCGTGGGGGCCCATCGACACCTCCAGCTCCCATGTCTGCTCTGAAGCATCCCCTGACCTGGGGGAAAGCAGCACTGGTGAATCCAAAACACAGGGAGCACCAAGGGTGGGAATGCCCAGCCTGGGACATGCCCGGGGCTGCTGCAGGGAGGTGCTCCAGGCTCCCTCGGGTCCCTTTTTCCATACACGGAATTTCGTGCCTCTCTTGGACCGCACGCTCGCTCTCCTCTGGGTGTAAATC